TAAGTTGCAACAGTACTGCATCAAAAACACAGAAAAAGAAAAAAGACTGCCCTCCCCAACCTCCCCTCCCTTCAGACTGTATTTTCAAACAAAAGCCATGAACAAAGCTAAAAAAGGGGCTGCACATTTCCTTTTTCAGCCTCAGTCCTGTACACTCTGAGAACCTGCAACCTGATTTGAATGGGCTTTACAGGGTAATTCCAAATGTAAAATTAATTAGTGTGAAGGGCCTTCAAGTTTTTTTCCCTTGGATTAGATTATGATTGAGTGACCATATTAAAAGTAACAGCTGAGTGCAGAGAATTGCTGAGCTATTCTCCAGCTACACTGGTTCTATTTTCATTAACGCTAACATTGCTTTTCTGGGCATACGGGAGGCTGAGTCAAGATTTATACAGTTGTGCTAAATCAATTTATTTTACTCATCACCAAGTATCAATATTTGGATTTCTGTGTGCAGCAGCTATCAGGTTACCAAGCAATGTCATATGCTGTTTAGGTAGTTATTTAAGAGTTTTGTTCCAGTTCCTCCATTTTTTTTTTTCTTATTAGGATATATGTTTAAATAATAACCTGCATGTCAATATACTTTCCCTCTGTAACTAAATGTGCTTTCCATGTACTATTTTGACTTTAAAGCTGTGGTGTTAGAACTAAACCACAGTGAAAAAAAACAGGGAACAAGAGAATATGGAAAACTTTGCTTTCATCCAAAAGTCCTGATTCATGCTTGAATGTCAGTGCAATGGGAGGAACTGAATATACAGTATTACAAAATGCACTGTAGTATAAAATTACCAAAATAGAATACACTTATATGAGTATCGTGCAGTTTTAGGCATTAATACAGAGAGACACAGTTCAAAGAACAGAAAGACCCACTACAGCAGGCATCTTTATGTCTCTCGTTGCCAAATATTAAAAATTTCATTTTTAAAAAACGTTTACTCCATAGACTGCAGAAAATCTTCAAGAGCTTTAACTTTCTTATGTTACAATGATAGCTACATTGCCACTCTTCATGACCATTCTGTGTTCAAAAAACACTGAAGAGGTCATTGGAATAAAACTGTTTCTCTAGGTGTAAACACACCTTAGCAATGTAGATGTGGAAAACTGCAGAAAAAGTGAATAGAAATTAAATTTTGTTTTCACTTCTTATGCTAAGAAAGTAAAATCAAACAGTGACGGTGTAAAAGAAAATTGTACTTCTAAAATTCTTCCGGCTTTAACCATGATGGTGGGTGTTTGTATAGTAGATAGGAAGCTGCTGGGCTTGATTCCATACACTGACCTCTGTTCAGGAAAGTGTTCGCTAGACCTTCAGTCTGGGAACCATTGCAAATGACAGTTGTACAGGGACACCATGTTTGCCTTCAGCTTCAAAGCAACATTATGGTACTGTAGTGAATCTAGTTCTGCTTTTAATATCTTTTTACCCTATCCTCTGTCTTTTAGAATAGTGCTGTCTCTCTGCTTCTATTGACATAATTGGGTATGATCTTTCAAAATTCCTTCTCATAAAATAAAATGTTCTTCAACTGTGAATGAAATTTCCATGACAGGCATTCTTTATTCCCTTCTGCTGGAAAAGTCTTTAGCATACTGCGGGCACTACTGGAACAGGCTGTTAATCACAAGCTATAGTCCTGTTTAAATAGTAAAACATAATAAATACAAGGCTATAGTCTGCCTGTTCCTCCCCCCCCCGCCCCCCCCGTTTGCCCTTCATGGTGCTCTACAAGAACAAATAGGACATTATTTTTAGATTTTCGTTTCTCCAGAAGGAAGGCAGTAGAAGTGCTACTGAGCAGCCACATGAAGGAGAGGAATGCACTAGCTAGTTTTCCCAAACGACAACCAAAATGGCTCCATCTGAGCCTCTGTTGGGAAGCAGTACAGCTTTATCCCTCTGATTAAGTAACACTGAGTTTTGTAAAGGACAGAAGGTGGCTCAAAGACATGTTTTCAATTCTCAAGGCCTAATTCTTTGAAGTAAAAAAACTTGAAAAAGACAAACTTCACAGCTTTAGGAGCCTCATTAATGTCCTGGATTAACTGCAGCTACAGCAACGTTTCCCAAGCCCTGTGTAAGGAGTCGAGTGAACGTCTTTACTTATATCTAATATATACATATACTCAGGCCCAAATAAATCTTATGATATTGACACATGGATTGATGAAATTCTACTGTCCTTTTGAAACAGGTCATAGTGGTCTTCTAACATGTGGATTTGCGACTAAAGATGGCAACTATCTCCCACCTCCACCCTTACCGCTTATATCCTTTGACTCCCTTCATGCTGGTACACCTGCCAGGGTGCGTGGAGGGGAAGCAGACAC